TTTTTTTTTTTTTTTTTACCATGTCTTTGTGTTTAAAGATACATCCCAACATTAACCAGTTATCCATGATTTTTTGCAGGTTATCAGCCCCCTTCCATTATTCTATGTATCCGTGGGCCTGCCCTGATTTTTCTGTATGGGCCAACTGGTGATGAACCCCTATTGCCTAAACTGATTCAAATAATAATCACAAATAGGGAATTTTACAAAGTAAACATAAATAATATATTAGATAAAGCTTTATGGGTTGGAGTTTTCTCATTATTTAGTGTTATAGAAACATTTGACAAGATATTTAAATTAAATTATTCTTGGACTCTAAGAATTGCTGAGTGAAAATTGAGTATGAATGTTATACTCTTTGATAAACCAGATTAAAATAACTGAATGGTTGCTAAATATTGATAAAAGTCAAGTGTTACTCACCAGAAGAACAAATGTTCCCAGAAATTCAGCCATGCATTCTCGCACCAGGGCAGCCCTCACTCTCAGTGTATGTAGCTTCAGCATGGCTCACTCTCCAACTATCCTCTCTGTGACCGCTCAGGAACTGCTGCAATGAGCTTTAGAGAAAAGGAGACTGCACTAAGACTAAATTATTGCTCCTCTCCGATCAAGCATCCAAGTATGTGCTGGCTGTATCTCTTGTCTCTCCAGGTTTGCCACAACACTGTGCAAAGTCGGACAAACGCTAAAGACTATAGCTCAGTTATTATCACCACAGTAATATCTGTCACAGATAATATGATTGGCTTCCTCTGTTAGAGGTTGCTTATATGAACAGAGACCATAAATTTTTAGATAAAAGAACACATTTAATAGCGGCTGTTAAACCAGATGGTGTTTTACAACATGTCAGCAACTTTCTAGACATGGAAAAAGACGATAATTAGTACATGGATTTTATTTTCATCACTTTTTTGTTAGATGCAACTTTTCTGCTTATATAAAAAAAAATGTTTAGAGTGGATGAAAACCTACTAAAGGAGTGTATATAAAACATGCTATAGACATGAACACATATGAAATCACAGCAGTGGATTTAGGAGAAAGGAAGGTAACAGCTAATGACATTTTTTGTACTACGATTCTCAGAGGACAGAGTCTTATACACAGAACCCCTCATGAATCTGACTGACAACATAGCTTTCTAACTGGACTCTGGACTCCACAATTATGAAACAGCAGTAACCCTGCTTGGTTTTAAGACTGTACACAGCAGATTATTAGACTCTTCTGTCTGTTATTCAGTTTCTTATCTGTTCTTATCATTAGATTCTTATGATGTAGGAGACCTATGGAGCCGCTGCTTTATGGGCTTTTCTTACCAGCAGGGTTCTCCTATGCTCCACAGGTGCTTGAACTCTCAAAACACTTATATTTTTGGCAAGTGATGTAAAAGACAATGTATGCATAGTGTTCAAAAAGTAATCCGGTAATAGCAAGCAAACCTGATTGGTAGGAGGACAGCCCTAATCCACACTCACCTTATAGTAATGCACGTTCTGAACCCAATTTAATGGGAAAGGGGCAGGATGGGACAAGTATTTTTTCATGAGGGTCATTGAACAAAAGAATGAAATAAAAAAACAGGGCTAAAATGTATTGTTTGATATATACATTGAACTAAAGAGCCATTTTCAGCGTGGTGCCCTTAAATCTAGCAGATGAAAAGTGTAATCCCATCCCAATATCCCTGAGCCTGAATGTCCAGCAAGTTCCTTTTGAAATCATTAATATAAAAAAAAAACCCTAAAAACTTAAATTTTCCCAAAGGACCTATCCTTTTATTCTGTTCCAGCTCAAATCATAATTTATTTATCATACATTTCTTTTTGTGTTAATCTTTGGTACAAGGACCATAAACAGGGCCAGGATCATTTCTAAAGGGGCCCTGGTTCCCTTTTGGCCCCTGTCTAGAACCGCCCATGTCCTCGACCAAACTAAATTTGCATCTCATCAGTAGAAGTTTTAGAAATAAATTGAAACATAAAACAACACAAATGCTTAAAAAAACATAAAACATGTTTGTGCACATGTGCACACTACATTTACAGGTAATGCAATGATGTGGGCTTAAAAAAACAGCAACACATGAATCCAAAAATTTTTTGTTTTTGCACACAGAAATTTAATGATGATTTAAAAATATCCATTTACAGCATTGAGAGGTGGATTGTAGAAATACCTTTCAGTTTCTTTATATGAATACAAAAAATAACCTAAAACAAATGCAGCTTATCTAAAGTGTTAATGTACAGCACTCATGGAAAATATGCTCTAGACAATTAACAAATCATCTTGGAACTTTCTGAAACAGCTCTTAGGATTTGAGTTCAGTTCTGAGAGATGAATTACTTTAAGCATTTAGTGTTTTAGATCTGCCAAAGAAAGAAACTGCTGTGTTTTACTGTAAAAATAACACAAAAAAACTAACTGATAAGCTAACTAGCTCTAACTCATCTGTTATAGTTAAACCTTTACATGTGAAATCATACTTTGAGTTATTTTTGATGAGTTTGTAGCAAACCCAATTTACTGAGCTAACCTTAGAGGTACAGTACATACCAAAAACAGAGATATTTCTTATATCTAAGAAAACAAATCAATCAAATCAATAGAAATGAACAGTACATGCTTTAAATCCAACATTATAATTACCACACTTTCTATTTTCTATAACCCCTCTTTCATCAGTAGGACTGGCAAAATTCAGTTTTTGTGCCAAACATTTTTTTAGCTTTTACTCCTCAAACAATACTTTTGATTTTTAAAGGATATGTTTTTTTTTTAAATAAAGGAATATCCATTGACAAAGAAATGCAGAAAATATATTTTTTTGTCCTGTTTGTTCTCTAGAGGAATAAATACATTGAACTAGATCTTGATTAACATTTGGGGAATAAGGCTATCTCTTCAAATGTATGCTTTGACATTAGTGCTGATGTTAAATGCAAAGAGAATATCACAGGCACATTTGCCCATCATCCCACCTGGACTCCATTTGACACTACTATACAGTTGTGTCTCTTAAAAAAAACAGAACAAATCCATAAAATTATCTTATAGTTAGAGCTGAGTCAGACAGCAATGCTCCTCTAATGTCAGGAGCTAACAGGAGCTCACCTCCTCAAGCGAGTGTTGAATTGCAGACACATATGATGCATTTAAAAAAATCACTTTGAAGACAAATGGCCCCTCTTAATTTACATAACTGGCACTTGATGCATTGGTGTGCAGACATACTGAAAAAGTAAGGGACAGACTGTTCTTCCACAATCTCGATTATGAAATTATTTAACATTTCTTGATATACTGCCCCTAGATTTTCACTTCAATTCAAGAAATTCTATTGAAATTCAATCCCTGCAACTACCAAACTCAGATACCCCTTTTAGAATGGCACAACATATCAATGAATGAATGGAGCACTCTATGCACTGTTTTAATCTAAATGCCTAAATAGGTTTGGTGATCTGCAGCAGCTGTTTTAATTTGGTGACTTTCCTCTTCTAATCATCTGTTTGCGTTACTCTAAATCTTCACTAATGCTTCTTTTGCATATTTTTGATGTAACACTTTGTGGCTGAGCTACTATCGTACTTGGTTCCTCAAGGTTATTCTGCTGCGAACAGTTTGCCATGGAATATTTGGTTGCGGGGCATTAAACAGCTGTACTTATTGCTCATGGTGATCAACTGTAAAATACTGAATTTACCTAAGAATGATCTGGTATTTAATCTATTTAATTATTCTTTTATTTAATTTCCCTATGGCACCAATGAACTGTTTTTGAATGGAATCTATATTGAACTATTTAATTTACATAAAAGGTCCAAACTCTCACAATTTTTATATATATGTAAATAATGATTTTATGCATCAATAAAGTACGTCCTGCCATTGTTGCTGCTGTTGATGAACATGACTTTAGTGTTGCTTTAGTTAAAATGATAAATAAAGGAAAATAGCACTAAGCACCAGCAAGTATAAATAAATGAGGTAACACTTTACAGTGAGGCAATGAGATATAGTGTTTATTACAGTTTTATCATATAATGCATGCTAAACATTATTATTTACAAATGCTTATTGTGCTTAGAAAGTGGTAACTTCATCTAATATTTTCAATATAAGGAATTATAGCTGAAATACATAGTGAACTTGAAAAGATTTGAATCATTGTTTGGTGAGGACCTAGTAAATTTTGTCTTGCTCAACCTCATTCATTGCATAATAAACACTTATGAATGCCACTCCTATGCCACTCACAATCAAAACTTATCACATTTCATCTCCTTCTCTTGACATGTAGACGCTTATGTTTGTCGAGTCCTTGTTTCATTGTTTCAGTTTACACATGGTTTAGATCTCTTGGATTCTGTGTTTCTGTAGTTGTTTTTTCTTGGTTGCCTTAGGTTCCTGTTCCTGTATCAGTATGAGCCCAACTTTGGCACAAAACAGATTTAATTGGGTAGAGCTTTAAAAATTGTGATCACACTCCTCTGGACATGGACTTCTATTTCTATTATCTATGTGCCGTCTTCTCTTGGCAAGAATTTTAGCCGTCGCTTTGCTTCTAATGATTCGATTAGGCCTACTTGTTCTGTAAACTGTTTTCACATCAGTTTTGGAATTTGAGACCTTCTTGATGAGTTAAGGCAAATTGATGCAACACATTTATAAATGTAACTCATCCTTGTAGAGAAGTACAGAGTTTTACTGCTTTATCAGCTCAGCAAATTTACAGTGGTTCCTAAACAGGATTTACAGCTGCTTATTAACATACGTTAATGGGAATCAAGTGTTTTATCTGCAAAGATAAATGCTTTATCTTTCTCAAAAATCATCAACCAGCTAAATTGAACAATAAGTAGTTATTCAAAGAGGACTGAAAGTACTCCAGTTAACAATGAGGAACTAGAAGTGTGTTGACTTCAGGACAACTTCTTTCTCCAATATGGCGGAAGAGTTTTTGATGACGGTAGAGATTGTTGGGAGCTTCTCCATTGGTTCGTCAGGCAGTTGCCATTCGATGAAGAACAAATACAAGGAAGTGCCTGCAAGAGCCCCAGTTATCGGAGCTACTATTGGTACCCAAAACCAATAATTGTAACACCTGAGGAAAAATAATAAATAGGAAAATTCATAACATGTTCAAGATTTAAATGTTTTCCATAGTAATCAATGTCATGGTAACATATTTGTGACTATTGTAAAATTAGACAAACCTTAAGGTCTATTCGACAAACTTTAAAGAATGTCCGCAAATTATTATTTGGGATTATTATTATTTTGTTTTTCACCCCAAGAATGAATTTTAAGAATGAGTCTTGTTTTCCATTATATTTTTTTTTCACGAAGCAACCAAGAACTAAGAGATATTTGTTGCCTCACTGAGTTTTTTGCTTTAACTTGGGCAATTCACTCCATTTTGATTCCTAAGCCACGGTTGCCATATCATCATAGGATCTCATCATTCAGACAGTTTACAGCTATGGACACAAAGGTAAACTGCACTGAAAGATAACATATCGCTCACCCAACATACACCAAATGAATTGTGGTAAAAAAGTTTGAATGGTATCACAAACTTTGTTTGGTGTTCTGCTTTTATCTGTTGGAATTTAACATTGCATCATCATCATCCTCAATTAAATAAAAAATCTAAAGTCTTAAAGAGATTTAAGACAGTGGCCGTTTGTATCTCTGCTTCTTTCTGTATGTCTGCTTCTGTCTCCTTAAACCCCAGTCGGCCTCAGCAGATGGCCGCTCACACTTAGCCTGGTTCTGCTGGAGGTTTCTTCCTGTTAAAAGGGAGTTTTTCCTCTCCACTGTCGCTACAAGCATGCTTAGTGTGAGAGATTGTCTTTGAGTCAATGACTCGATGAGATCAGCTGGTTTTCCTTGGACAGAAAACTGAATCAATCTGACTGTACGATCTGGTGAACTGTAAAGTACCTTGAGATGACATTTATTGTGAATTGGGGCTATATAAATAAACTCAATTGAAGAAGAAAAAGAAAGAAAAAAGGTTGTATCAGTATTTGGTGCTGAGATCTAAAGGGCTTAGTATCAAAATGTTTTAGTGCAAACCGGGACTAAGTTAATAGATTGCACTACAATGTTAATCAGCTGAGATCAGGGATCATTATCCAATGATTACATTTAAGCCAAATATAGCCTTTTATTTTAAGAATTAAACAGAAAGTTATTGGAAATCATGTCTCTTTATACACTTCTATACTTTCTAGGTAATGATCACTTGACCTTTAAAGGATCAATTGTCTTTTTTAGGGAAGCTATGACTATAAATTAATTATATGCACAGCTATTTCCATTGAATTTGTAATGAATAACAAGTCGGCAGTGAAAAGCCACTCTTACACTGTCTTGTAAGTTAGGTATTTGTTGAACAACCGTCACTGCGTCTTAGAGCAATAGATGCAGGTGTTGTGGAACAAACAGAAAATTCTTATCAAGTGTTCTGTAAAAATGGCGATGCTTATCTTACTGATTGCAAATACAAAGCATGCATTTCTGATAAATGTGTTAAGAAGTTTTGCTTTTGTTGTCTGGCTGTGGATTTGAGGTTCATATGCAATGCAGGGTAAAGTTCTTACGTGAAGACTTCAGTTCCCCAGCCTGCAGTCAGTGTGAGGAGGCGTGGTCCAAGGTCGCGGGCAGGATTTAAGGCGGCACCACAGTTGGCCGACATGGACATTATAATGCCAAGCACAATCCCTGCAACTATGGGTGCAATCAGGTCAGGGGGAGCCGGGGTGTTCCTCTTTTCGGTCAGGCTCAGGATGCACAATAACAGTGTGCCAGTGCCCACTACCTGATGAAATTAAGATTTTTACAATTAATCTTGTTCTCATTAAAAGATAAATTGCTTAAGAACGGTTTTAAAAAACTTACCTGGTCAAGAAAACTCCCTGCTAATGAAAGGTATTCAGATGGATATGTAGCAAATATAGACGCTGTTTCATTAGGGCCATAAACAGTCAAAACTCCTTCACTAAACTCCATTATAGCATCTGCAGCAAAAAACAAAAAAACAAAAAGCAAAGTTTGGTATGGGAAACATATGATTAGTTTTAAATATTATCGCAGCCTACACCTGATTTCCTACTGTAATAAAAAGGATAAGATTGAAAGAAAGTTCAACTTTCTCAATGGTTTTATTGAACATGTTATCCTGGCTGGCATGTCTCATACCATTATTAAACCCTAATTAAACTGCGCCTATTTTGAATTCCTCGAGGTTATGTAATCACTGAATGATAATCATTGAATGATATAATTCCCTCCAGTGTCTATTGAAGACTTTTTTTAAAGTACAAAAAAAAATTATGGAAAAAGACTCTTTGTCCTTAACTTCCACTTCTTATCTACCACTTGGTGGCTGACTTCATTGCCAAGTCTACTGTACCCCACAATTTGTAACTTAAGCCTAAAATACCAAAAAATACCCAAAGTTTTAAAGTCTGCTTTCTTTCTTTTTTATTTTTTTTGCTGAAGCTTCAGAGGTAAAATACTATAAGCAATTTTCTATGATGATGTGTCCTAATGGTAAAACCTTTTGAAAAGATGGTCACTTATCAACAGAGGGTCTTCTTTTTATGGTGTTTTAATCAATAATCTGTGTTTATAAAGTTACAAAGGTCAGGGGAAGCCAGGGTGTTCCTCTTTTCCTTCAACCTCAGGATGCACAAAAACAGTCTTCCAGTGCTCCATTGCTGCTGTACTAAACATTTTGGCGATGTTATAGAAGTATTTTAAACATGTATTAAGGCAATTATAATATCTTATTCAGAAAACGGAAATTATAACTCCAAAGATAAATGTAGACAGCAATCTATAGGGCAAAATATGTGTGGCCTGTTAGATAGTGTGTGGGGCCATTAAATCATGTTTATAGGAGCAGAGCCATCTCTATACAGTTATGCTGCTATAGGCTTAGGTTGCTGGAGGACAGAGGGGCCAGTTTTCCTTATTATACATTATACTTTTAATCATTTGGTTTAAATCCAACTTATTCTGACTGCTTTTTTTCCATTGTAGTTTCATCTGTTCAGATACTCCATTCAGCTGTGACACCATAAAGCTTAACTTTTACCGTGACTAATTCTACAGTATGTGCTCTCTTTCATCCCTTTAACATGAAAACTGGCTTAGAGCTCATCCACTAAACTGTTTCTTTCCTGGACAGGACATGGATATTTACCATTACCTTTTGTAACATTGAAAGTATGAATTAATCAGTGCTTACAGAAATATCTTTATTTGCTTTATGGTAATAATTATGCTCTGATAATTATTACTACTATGTTTTATGTGTGATTGATCTTTAAAGATGAACTTCAAGTCTGATAAAAGGACGCCTTGTCATCACCATAAGCTTCACAGATTGTCTGACATATTTACTTTAAACTCTGGTTAAGCTGCTCAAAAGCATACATTTATTTCAAGTGAGAGAAAACATGTAGGTAAAATGAATAGACAGTATTAAATCTAAAAAAATTTCTAAAGAAATTTT